CCATGGCAGCTAGCATGCAGGCATGTCAGGGAGGTCCTGCCAGTCAGACACTGCAAAGAGCTTCCGTACCCAACACAGCAATGGAAAGAATCCACCGTTGGCCACTGTGATCAATACAGCTTTCACAGACAGCAAAGGCACAGGTTCTGGTACCAAGTAACCAGAGGCAACTGGGGATTGGGTCTTTACTGCTACAGTTTTAAAGAGTGGTCTGGCCATTATTTGTACCAGGCTGCCTCTACTTCTGACTATATCTGGTCTTCCTAGATATTCTTTAATATACTCAGCAAACTAAAAATAAGTATCTTTTCTGTATTATACTTCTATTATTTAGAACAAAGAACCATGCCTCTGTATAGTACTGGGGAAGCACACACCTAAAATACAAACAACAAATGTAAAACATCCTTCAGTGTTGAAAAGACCAGAGAACTAATCTTTTCATTAGCTCTAGGGGTTGTCTGCACGAAACCTCCAAGAATCTGTGACACACGCCTTTCCCCGGAACACCTATTCCAATTGCAAGAATGAGCTCTGTTACAACAGCTCTGGGTTTTACATACATTACTATACTTAATCACTAAGTTAGAGCATTCCAAACTGGTAAATATCAAGTACAGCTGAATGTTACTTAACTTGGTTTGCTGAAATCCTCTGGAGATTTTGTGGATAGTGATTCTAAACCTGTATACAGTGTTTATTCTTGGCTCGAAAGCTCGCATTTAAGCCTAAAGTGGAATGAAGTTCACTGCCTACTGTGAAAGGATTAAGGATCAGTGTCGTTCCATTGTTCCCTCTCCTACTCTTGCCAAGAAAAGCAGCAAAATGGACACATTTATCCCGGAGCTTCAGGATAGCAAAGAGCTGCGGCCGCTCAGTGGTCACAAGTCTCTGAAACACAGTTCAAGGCTTTCTTTCTAGTCCAGCGGTTCTCAAAGTGGGTCCCAGATCACATCAACACCATCTTGGAACTCCTTGGCAATACAAATTCTCTGCCCCCACAGCCAAGCCTCTGAGTTCGAAACTCTGAGTAGGGCTTGGAATCCTGTTTACAAAGCTCTCCCTTCATGCTGACACATTGGACAGTTTCAGGACCACTTCTTTGGCAGCATAATTAAATCACTCCAATTAAAGGGGGATCCACTTTGCAGAAGGGGATGGAGAGATGCACCTTCTTAAGAATACACTATAAAGCATCCAGGGAGTTTTTCCCTCCTAGAACCCAGCTTCGAATGTAATCTGAACTCACTTTGTCTTCTACAGAGAAGATAAAGGAATCTTGCTGACTAAAATTTAATATAGAAGTAACTTTTCCTGAGACTGTCAATACTCTTCAACCTTCACCTCAGGTAAAATAATCCAGGTTCTTTTACCTTTATTTATCATCACTTTTGGAGGGGCGTGAAGCCCCGTGAATTGAACCCAGGGCCTTCACATTGAGCTACATTCCCAGACCTATTTATTTAAATTTTGACATTGAGTCTCACTGACTCACTAAGTCACCCAAGTTAGGCTTGAAATTAGAGTCCTCTTGCCTCAGCCTCCTAGAGTGTGGGGATTATGGGTGTGCCACGACACTCAGTTTGTGATTACTTTTTAAAACTTGTCATCATCCCTGTCCACCTCCAGAATAAAGTGTACTTCATTTTACTGATCAAGTGATTGGAACACATTCCCTGTCATTGAACCAAAGAAACTAATGCCACAAAACCTAGGTTTTTAATGTATTCTGCCTGTTTTATAACATATACTTTTTTTTAAACATCAAATTTTAACCTGGTTCTTTCTAGATATTCTGATTCCTCTATCTCACCATTGTTTTTCCCAGAAAAAAGTTTTAGTTCATTGTAAGATCACTAAGTATTTCACATACATTGGGTTAAACATTCTGATTCTCATTTGCCCTATTAAATAAGAATTGACCAGATGGATATTCCTCTACTCTCTCTCCTGAGCAGGTTTTAGTTAATTAAAAATGATTATTTTTACTACATATTTTATATATCAGCCAGATGTTACCTGTGGTCATTTCTGGAAAGCATCACTTGGTGGTAATTATTAAATACATATTTTCCTTTGGGAGGCAAGACTCCTGAGTGTGATCAGGCAAATAAAAGTAGAGATTGATTTCACCTCATACACATTTCCTCGTGCCAAAATGAGCATAACATTTCATTCTCTTTGAAGCAAGATCCACTCGAATTCTTCTTTCTTCTTTATAGCTCTGCACTCGGGCCCTATTTATGTTGAGTCAAAAAAATTGTCAGGTTGATGGAAGCAAAATTAATGTTGGTTCCCCTCTGTACTACAAGAGTAAGTTGATTTTCCTAGAATGATTTGGTTTCTGTAAAACAGCTATGCCAGACACAGCAAAGCATTCTGCTGGGTCAGGGACAGGGACTGTAGCACGAGACTGTGGATACACTTCTAGCTCTCTGCCACAGACCCCACTTTTGCACAGGTCTCTTTGGGAGGTACTTTTGTTTTGTTCTGTTTTTTTTTTTTTTTTTTTTTTTTTTTTTTTTTTTTTTTGGTTTTTCTCTGGTACCGGGAACCGAACTCACGACCTTGCACTTGCCAGGCAAGCGCTTTTGCCGCTGAGCTAAATCCCCAGCCCCCTTGTTCTGTTTTTTGAGACAGAGTTTTGCTATGTAGTTCAGGCTGACCTCAAACTTACTATGCAGCCCCGGATGGGCTTGAACTTGTAGCAGTCATCTTGCTTCAGCCTCCCGAGGGCTGGGACTACAGGCACACGCTACCATGTCCAGCTTGAAGCTATTTTTCATATGAAGTAATTCATCTGAACATCTCTTTAGTACTGAGATAATCCAGGATGAGCCAAAGGAAGTATAATTATAAAATTGTGATAAATTCATTTTCTCCCCCTGTGTACACAAATTCAATGGAAAATTTTTTTCTCCTAAAATAACAAAATTAAATTCAACCTTACAAAAAAATTCAGATGTGGAAGTCACTCAAAATTATGAAATTCTGACAGATGAAATTAACACACTACCATGCTATTACTTAAGCTAAGTTGAGATGGTTGGTCTTCTCCAAAACATCCTTTAGAAGAATCCTAGAGAAAAAAGTAAGGCCACATGCTCACAAATATAATTATATACAGCAGCAGGGTGCAAAAGCAAACAACAAATGTCCAATTCCAAAGACCTGGCCATGCCTTGTGAAGTATGACCTGGCCATATCTTGTGATACGGATGAATGTTCTGGCCTCCGTCCTGACCTTGCACAAGTGACTTCCCATTAAGGCCCAAATTATATGATTGATTGTTTTTAAAGTAACTTTAAGGGCTAGTATGCCTTATTGAACACATTCAATAATTTCAGGGGGTAGAGGGGCAGGTTGCTTCTATTAACTTTTAAGCTTTAAAGGCAGAACATACCAGTTCATATTCTGATTGTATTAAACATCTGTTCCCAGTGTTCTGAAGTACACAAATCTGCTTGTAGAATAAATCATGGTCACCTCAGAAATGACCTCCTCCTCTTATGTTTTCATAGCAATCAACATTAAAGTCACCCGTGGTACAACTGATTTCAAGAGCCAGCTAAGAAGGGGTAAGCATACATGATGAGGAGCCCCATAGTCCTTGGAATAAAGTGTTCCTCAAAATATACTATTACTTATCTTTGGATCAGGCCAGGCTCCTCCGTCTCTCATAGGTTGGAGGGATTTACCAGTCTTAATTTCCTACGTGCATCTATAATTGTCCGCAGAGGTCAATTTCAGTGGATGCCTCATATAAATTAAAATTGAAGATAATGATGCCTGTTCACTTGATCAACTCAAATGACCAGCTGGGTTTAATGGGAGGAAAACAGAAACCCCAGTGAAATTAGAATAGCTTCAAAGGTGATAGAATGTAATTATTTTTCTGTAATGTTTCTTCTCCAAAGGTGACTGGCCACTGCACCGGTGGGCAGCGGGGCCAGCCTATTACGAAGTTGGATGCGGCATTCAGAGCCAGGCACCATACCCAAAGGCACAAATCAGGAGTCAGCACTCCGCTTGGACTTTGGGGGAGAGCAGGATTTCTCTTCTGTTCTTAGTTTAGTCATTTTCTTTACAGTGAAGAGAAGTGCTTTGAGGGATTTGTTTAATTGACTCCTGAGAGGCAAATTCTAACTTCGATTGGCACAAAGTGTTTTTCTAGTCCTAAAATATTTTCTTAGATTTGTTGTAATTACCCCTGGGGTAGTAGGATCACAGGGCTGAAAGAATACTGCTATCACCTGCCTCAACCCCTTTATTTTTCAGATGAGAGACAGAGGTCAGGAGATGTGAAGAGACTGGACCAAGGTCCCAGAGCTAGAAAGAAGAGGCAAGGGCTGGGCTGGAAGTCAGCAGATGAGACGATGAAACCAAAACTGACTCCAGTCCTGGGTTTTTGCTTGCAAGTGCCTGGAGGGTGGTTGAGGGAGGAATAAGACTCTTGGTAAAAGTCACCACTTAAGGAAACTTAGATTCTGTGCTGTGGTGGACATGCCGGCCAGCGGAAACGAGGAGCAGGGGAGACAGGGGAACTGGCAGGGCAGGAGGCAGATCACCACCTCAGCAGTGCGGGGCTCCGCTCACGCTGGGCGACCACGCGCGGTCCTGCAGCCCACCTGGGCTCGAGTCTTAACTTCTCATTTCTAGCAGTCTTGGCAGGTTGCTTACATTGGGAGCCTCAGTCCTTTATCTGTATAAAAGGATGATAATATCAGTACTTACTATTGTGAGGATTACAAACCTCACTGTACTTACCTTAGTATTACAGGGATTAAGTAAGGATTAAATAAAGTGATATTGGTAAAGAGCTTAGCACATAGTAGTACACTTAGCACTAGTGTTACTGTTTGCTGTTTTCCTCTATTCACTATGACAGAAAAACCTTCAGTGTTTCAGAATACAGACATAAGTTATACTCATTAGTAGTGAACTGAGGTGCTTTACCTGAGCTATAGCCCCAAGGAACCTACAACAGACATTCAAAAAGTCATTGATAAAACCTCTTTATAAGTTTAATGGATCAGTTTTCAATATGCACTATCATAATTTAAAGTGTTTTTTTTTTTTAAAAAATAAACAACTACAGGAGAAGTTTTTTATTGAAAACACTGAATGACATTTATCGTTTCACATAACAATATCAGAAATTTGATGAGCAAAACCATTAGTAAAAAGCAACACCTCCTCTGTAAAAATCAAGGATGGAATTTCATGGCAGGAAGTTAGTGTGGACTTGGTGGCTCCAGGGGTCATTGCAGCAACGGCTCAGGGGTGCTGTAACTTCATTTGCTGGGCACATTTCCTGGGTAGTTTCATTTTTTGCCCCTTAGAATGTGATGGTTTCTAAATAATCACAAATATTTTACCCAGAGTTTTTAGGAGAACACCTTCGCAAAATTAATAGTGTAGAAATGAGGGCCATAGTTTGCTTTAGTTTGCTTTTTCTTTCATTCTGAGGTTTAAATTCAGTAGAAATTTTAAGAGAAAAAAGTCAGTTATCTATTCTCCTAATTTTTAGTGGCATGACTAGCAATTATGCAAAACAATTTTTTAAAACATGGTTGCAAAGAACTTCTCTGAGGCTGGTTGCTGATTTAGGACATCGGAAGATCATGATAAGCCGCATATCTTCCAGTCACATGATGGTAAATCTGTGAGGAAGATAAAGGTTAGTTCATCAATAATTATTATAAAAGCATACATATCAGTTAATAAGATATTCTCACATAATAATTGATATACTGGGAGGCTGAAGCAAGAGGATTGCAAATTTGAGCCCAGCCTGGGCAAGTTAGTGAGACTATCTCAGATCAAAAAAACCCTGTAAAAGTGCTAGAGGCATAGCTCTGTGTAAAGGCCCTAGGCCCATCCCCGGAGGTGGGGGAGCGGCGGGGGACTCTGTTTCAGCAGAATCCCCACCCAACCTCAGCAAAGGTCTCCTTGAAAGAAGGCAGAGCCTTAAAGATGATGAAGTAAACCGGAAGGGTTTTTAACCTCCAGGTCTCCATTTGTTTCTCAAAAATCACCTGTCAGGTCCCTGCAAAGACAATGAGTTATCACTCACCTGCCGTTCGATGTCTGAAAGCAGAGCGCTGGCCCCTATTCGAAAGAGTTCTGGTTTCAACCACTCATCCCCGAGCTCCTCCTTTATAAGAGACAGCCACGCCAGGGAGTCCTTGGCAGTGCGGATGCCTCCTGCAGGTTTAAAGCCCACCTAAGCGGGGGAGACAGAGAGGAGAACCATGACCATTGTTATCGCCCTGCTTTAAAAAAACACAAATGGTACTGCGTTCATAGGGAATCACAATTCTCTGTTTTTTTCTTCAGTCTTTTTCAATTCATCCAGCAAAAGAACTATCACTGATGCCCATTCACACTGAACATAACTTTTCCGGGATTAATGGGAGGAATGTCACTGCTTCTGAGGAGACACTAATGAGGGCTAATAACCCTCATTAACATTTCACTTATTGGAAAGTCATAACCCTCAGCCATCGCTAGACCACAGCTGTGAATCCGGAAGAGACAAGAAAGGTGTCAATAAATAGGAAAGTGTATCCCAGAAGCCCACGCATTCTGTATTTCTACAAGTATGTTTCTATAGTCACCTTCCAGCCCTCATCTTCAGGTTCAAAATTAGAGGCATATCTAAAACAAGAGAATGGAATCTATGAGCCCAGAGGATCGCCCTAACCACACTCACAGCAATCCAGCAAGGACAGGTAACAGTTGTTTCCATCACCTAAATTGTAAGGATTTCATTCTGAAGTTGTGGGTACAGAGTTCTCAAAGGCAGGCAGGCCAGTAACACGAACACAACAGAAAAAGAGAGCTCTTTAGACTTCTGAAGTCTTAAAAAAAAAAAAAAAAAAATGGATTTCTGAAGTCTTTAAAGATGTAAAACAACACAGTTCGGCCAATATCTGCATCTGCTACAAAAGGAAAAATATGTGCCATTTGTGGGAAAACCCTGATCATTTGGATTTTCTTGTCCAAAACCCTAACCATCCAGTGGAATACAGAATCCACAGCTAAGAGCAAACAACACGCATGTGAGCCAAGTACTAAAGTCCTTACAGTTTATTATCCAGAGCCACTCACTCTTTGGTAGGTAGCACAGCAGGAGATGATTGCTAACAGAATGCAAGAGAACAGAGACAATACATGAGGGGTCCTATTATCAACTCAAGTAGGCTCCCTGGGAATGAACCTGAAGTCTACCATTCCCTGGCCACATCCTACTCCTCACCACTCAAGTCCTAGCAATCTCTCTTTCTTCGCTTCTGCATCTCCGAAATGCACACCTTTCTCTCTGCTCTTCCCACTATGCTCAGTGCAGACCTTCACCAGTCCTCATTAGGAGGATCAGGAGTGGCTCGATCACACAGTATCACATGCTGCATGATGGCCATGCAGCACTTATTCTGGTGGGAGGCAGTACCTGGGATTGAACCTAGCGCCTCCTCCATGGTAGGCAAGTGCTTTACCACCAAGCTACAACCCCTGTTTTTTAAAGTTTTATTGTAAGACAGGGTCTCACTAAGTTGCCCAGTTTGGCCTCAAACCTTATTCTTCCTGCCTCAGCCTTCCAAGTAGACAGGATTACAGGACTGCACCACTACACCTGGTCAGTATTTGCAACCATATCTGCTATTACTCTGGACCCCAATGACTCTACAAGGCAGTGGAGGATGGGGGTAAGCAAAATGAAGTTATTTTTTGAAATGAGGCCAAAAAAAAAAGAAAATCAATTAGCTGATATTAGCATACATGGTAATCACAGAAGCCTTTCTGTAAATCAGGCAGTGGCTCATATAGATTTTCTATGAAGTTCAGTTTGTGTCAGCAAGTCTCTTTGGCAACGTTTCCAAAGAGAGGTTCACGCATAAGTTAATCTTTTTTTTAAGGCAGAGAATATGGAAAATATAAATCTATAATGAAATCAGTTATGAAATATTAAACCCCTGCTTCTCAGGAGTGACACTAATCGTGGTCTAGGAGGCAGCCTATCACATTGTAAAACACCGCTTAAATCAATGATGTAGAAGCTTTACAGTCACGGCTGCCCATGCATCTTGTCAACAACCTAAAAACAGTTGTACCCAACTTGCAGACCCATACACAGAATGTGACTGAGTGAGCACAACTTGATGTGTACCTGTCCTTCTCCTGGAGCTGGGTTGGGCTTTGTTTGTGAAGAGGAAAGAATTCATACAATCAGAAAGAAAGGATGGAAAGACAGAAAAATATCTCTCCTTCTGAAATCTGGAGTGTAACATCCCCAGCACTCGAAACATTCAAGAAAATTCTTTGCTTGTCTGAAAGCTTTCCTGGAAGGGTATTTGTTCATTGTTGCATTCCAAGCACTTAACATAGGTTAACAAGGCACATGGGTCACTACTTGGAAGCTGTCTGTTGGGTCCCAGTGGCATTTATTAACCCTGGCAATGGAGCTTATGGGACACAGGTGCCCAAGGAAACCCTAAGACCCAGCAACGCCAGAGATGGCGACCGAGGCGTCTCTGGGGATAAAGGCCTCACATCTGATTTTGATGATCTTCGGCTGGGTATGAGAACCACTGGTCTATGGAGCAGTGATAGTTTCACCTGAGAAACCAATAGATTTCTCATTTTGATTGCTTTTCTTTAAAAAAAAAGAAAAGATGTTTTAAAAAAAAGTTGTGTGGATCAGTGCAGAAAGACAATCAAGCAGAGGTTACTCAAGTTGGATCAGCTGTCATCCGCAGGTTACAATACATGTCTTAGCTATTTGTACTTAAGACTTGAGGTTATTTGGAGGGAGAAAATTACGGAAAGTGTTTATTTCCTTTCACAACTAGTACAAAAAAAGTCTCCAACTGTATAATAAACTGAAGCTACAGTTACATACAAAGTCATCACAGCCAGTTGGCAAAGGATTAAAGGCCTTTTGGGGTTCTGTTTGGCAGAAGTCAAGAGACTGGTTTTTAAAAGATGCCTCTCAAGAAGGAAAAGCCTCATTAAACACAGACACACACACACACACACACACACACACACCTTTCTCTCCAATGATGTTAAAAAATCCTTTGAGATAATTTGCAGCTAGACAAGCGACTTGAAGTGAAAAGGAAAATCCAAATACCTCATCCAAAAAAACCTCATGCACACTTTTCCTTTTAACTTCATACGTTTCAAAAAACATGTATTATTTTTTGAAAAGCTGACAAAAGCTAGCATATACCCTCCTCAGCTTAATAGTCTTCCAAAGAGCACATGCAACTGCCATAAAACGCAAAAATGGATATTTAATTCAAGAGCTATATAACGTCTAGCTACCTTTTCCCTGCTGTTTCACAGCATTTCATTATTTTGTTTAATAAGTTCATCTCCTCGAGAATTTTCTCTTCACCTCATATTATTAAAAGTAATAAGTTTTTCTGGACCGGGGGTTTCCCAACAGAAAAACCAATTTATGTGTGTCCTTCAATAATGACAGGAAAAGATTATTTCCCATTATATTGCATACTTTTCATATCACCACCACCGCTTATCATTCAATAAATGTTACTCCGCAATTCTTTCCATTCCTCAAGGAAGTTTAATTTCTGCATTAACCTGTTTTTGCTGGCCAACGCCTTGCCAGAAAGCCTCTGTGTTGCAGCAGAATTAGTTCGTTAAAGAACCCATTTAGGAATCTCTTGTCAGTGATAAAATTGTCTCCGGTTAATAAAAGGACATAAAGTGAGTTTACATCTTGATCACACATACTCCAACCCTCACACTCACTTTCTCTTAATGACACATTTCCCCCCCCAAAAATGTGTTCTTTTATAATGAGAGGTAAATTAAACATTTATCTTAATAAAGGTATCTCATTCACACCTTCTGCATGGCAAGACAGTTATCGTGGTGGCTGTAATGAGTATTATAAATAACATTATTTTTAAAGAAAGATTTTCTGGCAATACTATACCTTGTTTCCCGTTTTCCAGAAGAAATCTCTAATGGCCCTTAGCATTACTATAGCTACCGGGAAGGTGGCATTTACTGTTTCTTTTCCAGTAGAGGTCTTAATAAAATCTGATCCTAAAACAAAAGCAAGAGAAACTCCTGTGTTAATTAAAAACTTACTTTTTTTACACTTAAGTCAGTGAAAGAAATGAGTTACATAAATTTTCCCCTCCCTGAGGAATACAACTTTAATTATTTGAAAAACTAAAACCAAAATCTACCTTTAAAATGATTCTGTCCATACTTTCTTCATTCTTTTACCACCAGAAGAATTCAGTTAGGCACACAACGGGATCTTACAGACCTCTAGTCCTCTTCTCTCCGTATTTCCACACCACCAATTAAAATCAAGTTGCTTTATTTAATGAATGACTGAGATGAATAAAAAACAATTTTATGCCTTGTGGTTAATACCACAGACCACGACACTTTACTACAAAGCTGGGGAGCCACGCGTTTCTTCCTTAGTCCTCATGCTTGACAGAAAGCACACAGAACAGAAGAATCACCATGAATTGATCTCTACGGCCTTATTCATCGAGAAAAATGCTACCTTCCAACAAGCTTAGGATTTTCATGAACGACACCAGGCTATTTCTTATTTTGCAAATATTTTAAATAACTTCTTTCCTCAAAAATATCTTAAATCTGTTTAGATAGCTTAACAGACTAGCACAAGGAGACAAAGGAATAATAGGAATAGTTACGATCCACTGAAAGTGCTATGTGCTGCTTATTCCGTATCTACTGTGCTTTACAGGTATTGACTCAGTTGATCCTTACAACTGTTGCTCACTAATACTAATGCAAACATTGAAAAGAGGAAATGGAGACACACAGAAGTTCAGTAACTCACTTGTCATAGAGCCAGGTTGTGCGCGTGTGCGTCCACGCATGCGTAATTTTAGCCAAAGCAATCTACCAGTCTGTCTGTCACAGAGTCTCCAAGAAACTTGGGGTCACACAGTCGGCCTAACAGAGAATCTACATTCCACATGGACAACAAGCCCGAAATACTCAAACCATGAACCATGTATAGGCAGCCTAAAACCACGGGCGGAGGCAAGAGTTCTAGCATTGTCTTGCATCGTACACTCATCATACACTTCAACAATCTATTGTATATTCTGAAAAAAAAAGCTAGAGGAAAGGATTTTGAATGTTTTTACCACAGGAAAGTGATAACTATATGAGACAGATGTTTACCCAGATTTGACCATTACACAATGTGTACAGGTACTGAAACATCTAAATGACAAGAAAAACGTAGACTCTCAGACCTATGTCAGACCAACGGAATCGGGATCTAACATACACAAAGGTCCTAGATGACTTGTGTACCCATTCCCTGCCCCAGTCCACGGAATCTATGGGATCAAACTTAAAGCTTGTAATGGTTGATTCATTATGCCAACTTGAGAAGTTTAAAAGTTTAAGTGACTCAGCAGGGGGCCAGGGGCCTCACTTTGTAAACATCCTTATCCTGTGCAAGAAGAGGGCAGGGAGATGGTGCGGATGTAAAGGACCCACCCTAAGGCGGACAGCCAGCATACAATGCAAGGGAGGGAGACAGGCTTGCTCACCTCCTTTTTGCTCTTGTTGCTTTTGCTGTTTTCCACCGCCATGACCAGTTGCCGCTGTGCCATGCCACCCTGCCTGGTACCCACCTGATTATAGACTGAAACTGCCACAAACTGTGAGCTAAATAAACCTTTCCTCCCTTAATTTTGAGCGTTGGGCATTTTGTCCCAGCAAGAAAGTAACTAAGACAAAGCTAACTTCTGAGGTTCACCCCAGATCCATCAAAAGAAGACAGAACCTGAAAGAAGAAGTAGCCAAAACATTCCCCACCAGTTTCAGGTGGGAAAGATACCTCCATACCTATTTTGTACAATGGAAGACCCAAATAGATACACCTAAACCATGCTGTGAACAGGCATGTGGAAAATATAAAAACAAACCATTTGTGTGCTTGCCCTGAAAAACATGTACTCTACTTGCAGGTAGAGAAGACAGCTGAGCCCCACTCATCACTTGGCAAGGTAGCGGTCAGGAGCTCTGGTTTCTAGCTCTGCCTCTGATAGTTACCTTGCAAATTCAATCTCTTTACCTTCCTCATTTGCAAAATAGGTATAAAAAATCCCCACTTGCTTCATGGTGCTACACAAGGCATCAAATGAGATAATTTATGCACAAGCACCTTGCAAACAGTGAAGTATTATACAAATATAAATAAAGCAAACACCTTAGGCAGGTTTGCAGTCTGAGTAATGATCACAGAAACTCTTGATACATCAGAGCTAGTCACCAAGTCCTACTTTCCTTTAGGTCTGCAGGCAAATTAAAAGAAATGGAGACAGGCCTGCCAAATATGCATTCACTCAACAAACACTCACTTGCTGAGTACTTAGTCTGTGGCAGACTGTTCTAGATGCTAGGAACAGACCAATAAACAAAACAGTTGTATTAGCTAATAAAGGTCAAGGGGCAACAAACGCTATGTACAAAAATAGCACAAAGTAATGAGACAGAGAATGAAGAAGATGGGGAAGGGTAGCTGTGTTTAAAGAGTCATGACAACATCTACGATGAGTGATATTTGAATACAGATTGAGTGAAGGAATTCTGGGCCAAGAGCATTCCGAGCAGGGAAACAAAGCACGAAGGCCTTAAGGCACACATGTGCCAAGTCCACTCATAATGAATAAATGAGTGGACCACAGAACTGATGTCCAGCTCCTACAACATACAAACAACATGAAAATAACATGATGAAAAACAAGGCATTAAAACCCCCATGTAGATATAAGCAGGTGAGGGAAACAGCCCAAAAGAATTCATGAGACAAAGGTGTATTCTCGTACTGTGTGCCATGCTTTGGGATTTACTAGAAGACTTTGGAGTACAACACTGAATACCATCCAAATCCTTTCAAGCGCCGTAGAAGACCTTATTAAAATAAAGGGTCAAACTACATTTACAGGATTTTTTTTTTTTTTAAAGAAACTGCCACTTAAAAATCATACCAAATTCATCAAAAGCATCAACCTCCTCTGAAGAGGGGGAGGCCCCTGCTCTGGGAGAAGCAGGGCAGCACATCCCCCACAGTAGCAGCAGTAACTGGGTAGCAACTGTGGTCCACGTATTTATTTTTTTGTCTGGTTCCCTTTCTTGACTGTATGATCAGTACATTTGAGCCCTATGTGCATAAACTTTTTCAACACCTCCATATTCACAGAACATAACATGCAGGAGACATTTAATAAAGAATTTTAGGATGGCTGGATGGAGGTCCTGCCATAGTGTTCAAAAAAAAGCATACCACAATATTTTGTGTCTCATTCCTGTCCCAGTAGAACAATGTGTTGTTTTATTTGTTTTAAGTAAAATTTAATTTTAGAATGGATTTAGATTTACAGAAGAGTTACAGAGGTGGTACAGAGTCCCCCTTATTACTACCATTTTATATTAGTATGGTGCATTCCCTACAATCAAGGCACAAGCACCAGTACACCATTAGCAACCTAAGTCCACACTTATTTAGATTTCCTTGGTTTTACTCAGTATTCAGCCCCATTCAGGATACTACGTTTGTCATACCTCCACAGACCCCTGTTAGATGTGAGAGCTCCTTAGATTTTCCTTATTTCAGTGACTTAGACAGTTCTGAAAGCCCCTGTCAGATTTAAGGTCTCTCAGTTAGGGTCTGTCCAGTGTTCTCATCAGTTGCCTGGGGTTATGGGTTTGAGGAAGAAGATCGCACACATCATACCAATGGTACATACTATCAACACAATCTACTACTGTTGATACTGACCTTGAGCACTTGGCAGAGGTGCGATTTACCCAGAGTTTCTACTGTAAGTTTATCTCTTTTCACCACTTTCCAGATGGTTCTGGTGTTCCACCCTGAAGGAGTGGGGAGTTACAATCCACCTTGTAGAGTGGAGTTAACCACATAAATTCTCTGAAAACTTTTAGATGAGATTTGTCTCTTTTCCACTTTTAAATTTTCAATACTTTATATCAGTAGACACAAAGATACTCATTTTATACTGAAGTTTATAATGTTTATAAACCTTCTTAGTTTTGTTGTTCAAATGGTTCCAGCTGTTGGCTATTGGACCTGCTTTTGGTTGCTTCCCGTATATCTTTTCTTCCTGCAAATCCATAATCTCATGCATGCTAGGCAGGTACTACACCTCTAGTACTACTTTCTGTATCAAGTGGAGTTTTCATATTTTAAGCATTTACTTCCTGGGACTATGAGATACTCAAGGGTGACAACCAAATTAAGGAATTTGACCTCATCAAAACTGAAATACGTTCCACTTAGGAATAATAAAAAATATGAACAGCTTTACACCCACCAGTTTAATCACTTGGCCAAAATGGATCAATTCCTTGAAAGACATAACCATCACTCATAAAGGGAAGTAAATAGTCTGAATAGGCCTATATCTATTGAAGAAATTATTTAATTTAAATTTGTTATTTATGGAAATAATAACAATGATCCCTCTTTCATTTGTGATATGGGTAATTTATATCTTCTCTTTTCTTGGTTAGTCAAGCTCAAGATTTACCAACTTTATTGATCTTTTCAAAGTAGTAGCATTTAGTTTTTATTTTTTCTCTAATGTTTTAGTTTCCAATTTCACTGTTTTTATTTCTATTTCCTTTCCTTCATCTGCTTTAAGCTTACATTGCTCTTCTTTCTGTACTTTCCTGATGTGAAAGCTTACATTATTCCTTTTGGAAAACTCTCTTTTTCTCATATATGTATCCAATACTATAATTTCCCTCTATGCACTGCTTTTGTACCATGCTACAAACTATGCTACTTTGGACAATTTTCATTTAGTTCAAGATACATTAAATTTTCTCCTCAGACTTCTTTGACGATGTGTGGTTTAATTTCTAAACATCTGGGGATTTTTCAGCCATCTCTCTGTTACTGATTTCTAGTGTTACTTATCACACTGTGAGAGAATATTTTGTATACTTTCTATCAAGTTTGTTAGGTGAGCTTTATGAGCTAGAATGTGGCCTTCTTAATTAATGATCTCCATAAA